TATTTATGGTAATTTCCCGTTGTTTAATCATGTATTTAGTGGTGATTAAGGTTGAAAATGAGGGGTTAGGGATTGGGATTTTGGAGAGTTTGATTGAGGATTTCGGGGGTCAAATGGAGTCGGATTTTGATAAATCTTATATGTATGGACTCATGAGTGAAAGGGGTTTCTAGTTTTGTGACTTTTGTAGGATTCCGAGATGTGGGCCCAAGGGTCCGTGTTAAGATTTCGGGATTTGTGCCCAATTTGATAGTTTTTCTTGTGGAATTCATACCATTAGCGCATATTGATAGTATTCTTCTGGTTGTGAATAGATTCGGAGCGATTGGAGGCCGAGTCGAGGGGCAAGAGCATCGCGGAGTAGAGATTTGACCGGTTTGAGGTAAGTAACGATTGTAAATCTAGTCCTGAGGGTATGAAACCGCGGATTTCGTATCATTTTATTATTTTGAGGTGACGCGCATGCTAGGTGATGGGCGTGTGGGCGTGCACCATTGGGGATTGTGACTTGGTCCGTCCCGTAGCAACTATAAAGTTGCGTATTTGGTTGAAACTATGTGATACTTATGTGTTTTAGAAAGTGTTTCTATAAATTGGGTTGAATGCCATATTTGGGCCTTGTGCCAGAGCTGTTTGGACCCTTAGGGGCCTTTTCTTACTATCCTCTCACTGTTTTTAGTTGAAAATTTATACTCAGTCTTGTTACACTTATTGATTTCATAACTCGGTCTTTATTACTCTATTTTGATGCATATAAAATGTTGTTTTGGGCTGAGTACCCTATTTTTACTGAAAGCCCGAGTGGCTTGAGAGGTTTATGACTGAGTGAGGCCGAGGGCCTGAGTTGTGAGGATATTTATGGGATCGGGCTGCACGCCGTAGCATGTTGTTACTGGTTCATGACTGAGTGAGGCCGAGTGCTTGATTGTGAGATATTGAGATTATGGCACGTGAGTTGTCCGTGCGAATTCTGATATTGATGTTATGGCACGTGAGTTGTCCGTGCAGTATGTGAGTTATCCGTGCGGATTATAGCGCTTGGGCTGTAGGAGCCCCTCCAGAGACTGCACACCCCCAGTGAGCGCGGGTACCCTGAGTGATGTTTTGCCCGAAGGGCTGTATATGAGTGATGGTGAGGTATGCCCGAGGGGCTGTATACGAGTGACTGTGAGGCTTGCCCGAGGAACTGTATATGAGTGATGTTTTGCCCGATGGGCTGTTTTGATTCCATCATTTTGCTCACTGTTGCATTGAGCCTCTGTTTGAGAACTATCAAAAAATATCTTCAAATGATTTTACTGAAACTGAGTTTAAACGAAACGATTTGATTCAAACTCTACTTTTAAAAGCCAATTGTATTTTTACTGAGATTTCATGACATGAACTTTAAATGCTTTATTGCTCGTCACTAATTCTCAGCCTTTATTTACTTTGGTTACTTACTGCGTTGGCGTACTCACGTTACTCCCTGCACCTTGTGTGCAGATTCAGGTATTTCTGGACCCGGTAGCGGGTGTTGATTATTCAGTTTCAGAACCATCGGAGTTAGCAAGGTAGCTGCTTGGCGATCGCAGCCCTGCTTTCCTCCATCTTCATCTTCCCTTAGTTGTTTTTTCAGTTGTTTCCAGACTATGTTAGTCTCGATATTATCAGACGGTTGTAGTAGATGCTCATGACTAGTGACACCCCGATGTCGGGCTTTCTTTTCCGCACTTTTGTTTTGATTTGCACTCCTTATGAAGGTGTTATATTAAATAGCTTTGGGAATTATCTTGAAAATGAAAATCTTATTTTGTTTTGGTAATGTGTCGGCTTTCCTAGTACCACGATAGGCGCCATCACGACAGGGTTAGTTTTTGGGTCGTGACAAGTTGGTATCAGAGCCTAGGTTACATAGGTCTCACAAGTCATGAGTAGGTTCAGTAGAGTCTTGCAGATCGGTACGGAGACACCTGTACTTATCTTTGAGATGCTGCATAACCCTTAGGAAACTTTACATTCTTGAATTCTTATCCTGCGCTATTGATTCAGCTTGAAGTGTAACTCTTTGAATTCCTTCCACGCATTCGTATGCGTACATGAGCGCTCGGTATCAGGTGTGCATCGACGGCTTGTGATTCCCTGGATGAGGTGTGAGATATGATTTCTGTGTGTTGATATTGGGCCAGTCTGGAGGATTTGACGCCGGATTTTGACTGTAGCTTCAACACTGAGGTGTTGATTGTGTCAGCACATGCTTGTGGACTTATATGTTGGGTAGTGTCACTATTAGTGGAAATGGTGGCTGGATGGCTATGTGATGAGTATGATGTGACTGCGAGATGAGTTCATATGATTTGAATGTGACAAGAAGGATTTGCTTGAGGTGTAGAAAGAATTATTCGTTGCTTGACTCCCATCCTGATTTGACGTATAGCCTCGAGTTAGGAGTGTAATGGAGGATCCTTTTCAGGTTGTATAGTTGAGGAATGAAGTAGATATTCATGTCGTGAGATGAGTTCAGACTTAGGAAGATTAAGTGACTGCATAAGGTATGTGACTGTGGAAGGGTATAAAGAGATGTTAGTTGGAAGCGAAGTAGGTGGGTTATCTCCTGCGGGGTGTCCTGAGGGCGTATGATCCCTATGTTGTGTGTAGTGAGTCCTATTTTACCAGTGAATTATATATGTTACAGTTTGAGTTTCGATCGTGTATGAGAGTTGGCTTGACTGTTACGAGGGTGAATGTGAGATTTGCAAATGATTTGAGGTATTAGATGGGTTGTGTTGCATGAGCTTATGAAGGATTTAGCTGAATCTCACTATGGTATTATGGCAGTAATAGAGTATGGGCATCGTGAGTTATTGTGCGTGTTGATCTATGGCTTTGAGCCAAGTGGGAGAGTCTGCTACTGATCAGTTGATTGCACGGTTATGTGTTGTATTGGTTTCAGTTTGAGGCATACTGGTGAATCAGTTGTGGCTTACAAAGGTTGAGATCGAGGATGACTCGAGTAAAGGAAATTTTGGATAAGGGTTGTGTTATGCTAAATGGGTATATGAGAAATATTGGATGAGTTAGTTGTTGTTGTAAGGGATGTAACGTGTAGGGAGTAGGAAATCGCTCGACTGCTTAGAAGGATGGGTTACTTCCTTAGGTGTTGTTGTACTAATGGGGCACAAGTCATTCGGTTTGTTTGATCAGTTTAATTGAGACCTGGGTAGAGTGGATAACTCCCGAGAATGGTTCTAATGGATTTAAGATTTATATGTAAAAATTAGGGATCTTCAGGATGTGTATTTGGCTAGAAATTCAAGTTTACATTGGAGGGTGTCAAGACTTGTGGCATTTATATATCATTATGGATTCTACATATTAGTATCAGGAGTGTGAAGGTAGTGGATTTAGATTCATAGGAAGTCTTTTAAGGATAAGTATTTTGAATGTGGTACTTTTGAGGATATTTAAGAGAATTCAGCGGCTTATGAGCCTTAGGCGGTGTGGTTTTATGCTTGGGTCTCATGTGGTGAGTCTGGGTTGAGGATTATGGTATTATGGAAAGAAGAAGTATCAATTTGAAGGTAATTCAGAAGGAACTCGGATAGATAGGACATCTTGGTAGTAGGTTGGATCGACATGGTAATGGGTATGATTAGTTCTTTGGGTGTGTATGAGGTAATGAGTTTCTATAGGTGTTTCATGGCAATGTCCTTGGGCTTTTGGTGGCTTGCGTAACTTGGTTGAGTTAAAAGGATTCAGTCCTGACGGTTTGGTTTTGTGCCAATGGGGTTCAGAGAGTTCTTGATGGTTTCTACCACGGTTAGAGATGTGTATTATCTACTGGCGTGAGGAGCATGTGATGTATAGTGGTTTTCTCCTAGATGGGATCAAATGGAAAGTTCTTGGCTAGTAGAGTATATAGTTGCTTGTGACTTGGAGTGGATTATGAAGCTCTCACATTTATCATAGGATGGCATGGCATATGCGGTATGCTGCGTAGGATTGGGGTTTGCATGTGTAAGGCCACGGTTCAGTTTTGAAAGAAAGGTCATAAATTCTTAGGCAGCTGGACATTTTCAGATGACTAGGTAAATGATATTACTAATTGGTATGGTTTAATGAGAGTATACATTCAGAAAGGAGCGATGTGTTTGAGCTATAGATACTTCATTGGTATTGCGGCACTCTCTTGTTTGATCGACTGCTGGAGTTCAAATTTTTGCCTTGTGGCACAGAAGGATTTTAGAAGTATTCCTCATGGGATGACCGGATAATTGGCGAAGCGTGGGCATTCAGGCGGTGGAGTTGAGATCAGAGATGGTAATTCGCATGTTCTATGGATTTGGAGACTGAGAGTTCTCGTGAGTAGATTGTTTCGTGGATGTGGACTGTGAAAATGTAGCCAAGGTTAGTCAGAGGTTAGTATGTGTTGTGATTCAATCATGGTAGACTTTCGGAGGGTTATTTATCTATCGTGGGGGACGAGAGCTGATTTTGGGTTCATTGGTGGGCCCAATATGGATGTGTGTTCTGCATCGAGTCGGATTTGTTGACTCCGAACTACTATTGTTGAGGGAAGTTCCATTCAGTGGTTGTTGAGCTAATTTGTGTTCTAAAATGATCTGAGTGTTACCCTTCTATGTTACGAGAAGTTATGATTAGTGAGTTATATGCAAATATGGTGCGGTTCTATTGGGGTCCTATAGCGGAATTTGAGTGGGAAGAGTATTGGGTATTGCTTGGTGGATGGCGTATTGGTTATGTTCTTTTGGGTTTTGTGTGGTGTTATGTCATTTGCTTCTCCGTGGTTATGGTCATGCACTTTGAGTACTTGATGTCGAATTGCGCGTGGTTATTGATTTTGAACAAGGTGGCTTGAAGTATGACTTGCTCCAGTTCCTCGACTGTTTATTTGGTGGTGTCGGAATCGTTCGGGACTATGAAAGACCTAGGAACTCCATAGTTGTCTTCCTCACCGGTTCCCCATTTTTCAATTCGGTCGGGGCCGGTGTCGATGATTTCTATTTGGTATCTTCCTTGGCGACCAAACTCGGATCCTTTGGAGTCGAAAGTGCGGATATCAGGACCACCTCGTTGACCGCGAACATCTCTTTTGCGGCCGATTGTTCTCCATAAATTGTTTTAATCCCTCCGGGCATTGGGAATTTCAACACCTGGTGCAGTGTTGAGAGCACTGCCCTCACGTTGTGAATCCATGGCCTCCCGAACAGAGCATTGTTTCTTATATCTTCTTCGATTAGGTAGAACTTTGTTTCCTGAATGGTTCCGGTTGTGTTCCCCGGTAGTGTTATCTCCCTTTTAGTGGTCTCAAATGCCATGTTGAATCCATTTAGAACTCGCACTGTAGGCACAATTTGGTCTTGTAGACCCGGCTGCTCTACAACTCTCGATCTAATGATATCGGCCGAGCTACCTGGATCAATTCACACACGCTTAACTCGAGATTTATTTATGAGTACAGATATTATCAATGCATCGTTGTTTGTCTGCATGATGCCTTCAGTGTCCTCGTCGTTGAAAGATAAGGTTCCTTCTGGCAGGTAATCTCGAGTCAGTTTTTCTCTTGTGATGGATACTTTGGTGCGCTTTAACATCGGCCCCTGGGGAACATCGACCCTACTGATGATCATGTTAATGACGTGCTGAGGTTCCTCCTGCTCGGTCTGCTTATTAGAGTCCCTATTCCTGAAATGGTTTTCGGCTTGATCGCTCAGGAACTCTCGGAGGTGTTCGTTGTTGAACAACCGGGCTACTTCCTCTCTCAGTTGTCGGCAGTCCTTAGTTCTGCGTCCATGAGCGCCATGGTACTTACATAGTAGGTTGGGGCCCCTTTGAGCTGGATCGGACTGTAAAGGTCGAGGCCACTTGGTGTCTTTGATACGTCCGATGGCAGATACGGTGGCAGCACCATCGATGTTGAAGTTGTACTCTGAAAACTTTGGCGCTTCCTTAGGCCCGATAGACCTGTCGAAGCCGCTTTTACTCATGAGTCCCTAGTTATTTTGACCTCGATTGCTTCTCCTTTCACTTCTCATAGGGTTTTGTCTAGACCTATTACCTCTTCGGTATCCATTGTATGGTTGATACCGGTCCCTATTTGATCTTGGTTCACGATCAATGTCTATTTTGGATCTGTCACTAGCTCTGGCGGGATAAACGGACCCGGAAGGGCCCCAAGCTGATCATCTTTGACCCTGATTTTTGATTGGTACCGGTTATGGACGTCGGCCTAAGTTACCACCAGATATTCTATCAGATTTTGTTTCAACTGCTGTGAAGCCAATGAGCTTCGAGTATTGAGCCCTTAGGTGAAGGCCTGAGCGACCCAATCGTCAGCGACTGGGGGCAAGTCCATTCGCTCCATCTGAAATCGGGATATGAATTCCATGAGCATCTCATTATCTCTTTGCTTCACTTTGAAAAGGTCTGACTTCCTGGTCTCGACCTTGATGGCCCCGGCGTGTGCTTTCATGAAGGCGTCTGCGAGCATAGCAAACAAGTCAATATAATTAGGGGGTAAGTTGTGATACCATACCATAGCTCCCTTTGAAAAGGTCTCCCTGAACCTTTTTAGCAGGACGGACTCGATCTCATCATCCTCCAAGTCGTTCCCTTTGATGGCGCACGTGTAGGAGGTCACATGCTCATTTGGATCTGTTGTTCCGTTGTACTTCAAAATTTCGGGCATGCGGAACTTCTTCTGGATCGGCTTCGGGCTGCGCTCGGAGGGAAAGACTTTAGGACGAATTTCTTGGAATCCAGGCAACCCTGGAGTTGTAGGTTTTCACCTTTTTGTCATTGGCTTCGATTTTTTTTTTCCCGATTACACCCGTTTTGTTAGTTCCTCGAGCATCTTTATGACCTCGGGGTTAGTTCCGGGTTCAGCTTCAATCGGCCTCTCCGTGACTGGTTCATTTTTGCGAGTGATTTCCCAGGACGGCTCAGGCTCGAGTCTGCTGAGGGCGCGATTTTGGTTCTACAGCTAGGCTATCGCTGCCTGTTGAGCTTGTAGCATTTCGAGGATCACCCGCAAGTTAATCCCATCACCTTCACTATCGTGTGTATTTTGGGTACTAATCGGACTCCCCCGCGGACGTTGTTCTCGGGATCGGTAGGCAAATTCGCATTGATAGCCACATGTGAGTTAGCGTCGATCGGGTCCGTGACCGGAACTCCGTTGGGATCGACATGGGACACCTCCTTACTGGGTACCATATTGTTGTTCTCGCTATGGTGGTCGGACTCAGCATCCACGTTCAGAGGGTCAGATTGAGAGTTCGACATTTTAAACTTTGACCTGAAATTAAAAACACTTCAAAAATAAGTGTAAAATACGGTGTGTTATGGAAATTTGTATAAATTTCCACTATTATCCTTAGCCCCACGGTGGGCGCCAAACTGTTTACCCTAAAAAATGGATAACAATTAAATATGTAAATGAATTTAAAGATACGTGAATTTATTCAACACAAACGGTAAATATTGCTAGATTAAACAGATAAGAAATATAACAAATTGTCAGACCGCTTGAAAATAAAGGGGGAAGAGATGATTTAGACTTGAGGGCAGCCTCAATGAGGTATGCGTCTTCGATCCCAGACTTATAGCAATGAAGCATTGATCAACAAATGTAAGAACTTTGAATAACGGAAAAATAATAGTATATTGCCTTGGTATGCGTGTTACAATGTGTATAATGAATAATCAGACTCCCCCCCCCCTTTATATAGTAGGGGAGTCCCCGCTCTAGGTTTCTATAAAAGGTAAAAATCTTTCGTTTAACTAATCACCGGATTTCTGCCGATACGTGCCGAGATCCACGCCGTGATACCCGGCTGGTCACGATATCACGGCCTTCTGTTAACCGTGTTCGGTCGCCCGATAATGCTCTCTGAAGTCTTTTTGGGGATTCAGACCGATCCCGGGGTCAATGGCCCCGAAATTCTCGAGGGCGGGCGTCGTGCCCCCGGAACCTGTCTTGATGAGACCCTTGCCTCGATTTCGGCTCCTTGTCATCACGTCTCTTGCTCGATTCACCTTATCGGAAACCGGGGCGTCTCATAGGTTTAGTTTCACCCGTATATAAAACTATTCAGTTTAATTTGATCTTTCAAAGCAAAAATACTACCAATATTGGCCGATTTATAGAATACAATCAATATTAACCAATTCGTATAAATGCAACCAAAATTAGCCCCGTTGGCCATTTTTCTCTTCAAAGAAATATGTCTGTTTTAAAACTTTGAATATTTACATTCTTAAAACTCTTCAAATTCTGCAGAGTACGTACTCTCGTCTCCATTTTGGATTGTGCCGGACTCATAAATTAATTCTTTTACCCCTAACTCCTAAGCCTTGATTAATAATTAGACTAATTACTCAAGTGGATTTATGCTTGCTCTCACCAAGTGGAAAACAGAAAATGAAAGATGAATTTAACTATTTGTTCCCACTTTAATCCTGGTTCAATTCTGAAGCCACAAGCATGGGCGGATGGGCAGATGTAGCATTACGGCATCTGAACCTAGTACCTTCGACGAGAAACATATATTTTATATTTAAAAATCTATTAAAATTATATAAGTAATAAGTCTGCGTATATAGTATTTAAATTTAATGGATTCAATGCTAAAAATCTCAAACTTCACCTATCGAGCGAAATTCAGGACCTGTCTCTGGCCACAAGAATATATCATATATGTGAATGGAGTTTGTTCCAGCAACTCGTTACGTATTAGTGGATGGCATCGGAAAAATATGTGGCCAAGAAAGCATTGCTGACTCATGTACACATGTAAAATTTTGGAATTAATTTGGTCATTATGTATAATGTCTTTATATGCAAATGATTCATTATATTGTTGAACTTTTCAATCATCAAGAATAGGAAAAAGAAAGAAAAGAAAAAAAGCGACTTTACCAAATTCAACTGGGATTATTAAAACATTACTTTGTTGCTTTTCAATTAATTTAAGCTACAAAACTACTAACTTGTGGTGAGTAGAGTGATTAAGGCAAAAATAACTTTTTTAATGCTAATAAAAAATTAACACTTTTTTCTCTAATGGAAGATAAAGTGCAATGTGAAAAGGAAAGGATGGACCATCTTGAATATATTATGTTTAGTTGATTGATGACCAGCCACCATAAGAAATTTTCCTCCTATTTATTTGGATAAAGGATCTATATCCACTATATAAAGTTAGAATTTAGCTACCTACATAAATTTTGTCTATTTTATGCTCATTTAATTCATCATATATTTATGAAACATTAATCAAAATAGTCGTCCACTCATTTGCTTAAATTGAAATAGCCTACGGATATATAATATATGTTTAATTTACGCATATAATCATATATAATTAACATATAATTTATATACACCGGCTAGAAAAAGTAAATAGTATTCCGACCGATGATTTGTATAAAGATTCCTTTTATTTATTGCCAATTATTTTGGCTTCCAGTTATTGGAAGATCTGGATAAAACATTGGCAAAATATATGTGGTTTTCGGTATCCAAGGAATAGATTAAAATGGGCAATTACAATCACCTTTTAAGTAGGAGCAAGGGGCAGATATAGTATAGAATAGATAACACCAATTGACACAAAGAGTTGGTGGACCTAGTGGTGTTTTGTATTCATTAATTTAAAATTTTGAATGCGTATTTGGTATACTAAAAGCTATTATTTGTTAGTATTGATATATTATACTGTCTTCTATTGAGATTGAAATAACCAGGTGTAATGTAAAAGCTAATAAATTAAAGGAATTCTTACCTCCTATAGCAAAGGTTAACACCTTATTTATTTTAAATAAATACCATTTAAAAAATTATATTCTATAGATACCGTTTAATGTTTATAGCAAAATATCTAATTTTGGTTACCTCCTACTCCTAAGCCACTAAATACGCTATTCAGTTACAATATTTTCTTTCTCTCTCTACTTTGATACAACTTTTACCTCAAATTTCTCATAAAGAGCTCTCCAATTCCTTCACCCACAATCGCCATTAACTGAAGGATCAATTTATCAACAATTATTAACCAAACTAAACAATCTAATCCAGTTATTTGCAGAGAAAGGATTAAACCCTAAACCCTTCCGTTGCAATTACAATTACAGAAGAAATCCTTACGTCTCCCTGTTCGCATAGATGGAGAAGAACAGAAACAAGAATAAGAAAAATGGTCGTGCGGCTATGGATGTCTCCTCTGACAAGACGGTCACGGGTCCCTAAGCAGTGTTGGTAATTTCTGCAACCGAAATTGAATCCAAAGGAGATGAAGCCTCCGATCGACAGCGGCGTGTGAACAGTGAGATTCAGGGTTTTTGCTCGACGGCGGATTCGCCGGAAATTAGGGTTTGTTCTTGAACAAAGACGACGGAGTTTGGGGCTGAGCAACTTGATTTTCTGTTAATATATTTTAATGTTTTTTCAACGTATCACGCTGTATTTTCATGTATTTCATTGTATTCATTGTCTTTTTTTCATTGTAATTCAATGTATCTCGTTGTATTCCATGTATTTCATTGTATTCACTGTCTTTTTTTCTCATTGTATTTCAATGTATCCTGTGTATTCTATGTTGATGTATTATATAATTTCTCTGAAGATTGCTATGTTTTTGGGGTATTTTTCGATTGAGAATCTTGTTTATAACTGAAAATACAAAATTTGCATGTTATTATTGAGTTTGTTGAGTTAAATTAGGAGTCTATTATGTTAATTGATTCACTTTCCATTTTAAAAATAGTGTGATCCCCTATTTCACGCTGTGAATACAGTCGAATACAATAATTTGTCCAGCTGTAATCCCATGTTTCACTCCATGAATACAGTCGAATACATTCGAATACAACAACTGATTAACTGGACTTCCCTGTTTCACGCCTATTTTTGCTACTGTATTCATGAATACAATAGCTTAAATACATCAAATACATCTTATAACCACAGAAAAGATATCTATAATTC